CAGCAGCAATCAATGTGGGTCCTCCTGCAACAGCAAGGAAGGGTATCAGCAAGCAAGCACCCTGTCTGCTTGCTGTTCCCCACAGAGAAGACAGGGTTCACAGCAGCAGCAGCATCATATATAGGATTTACCACACACACTAAATCTACTACATGCAATGTACCCACAACAACACACAGCAGCAGCGGTCTAAACCTACTTCAAGAAGTAAGTACGTAAGAGAGGTGTAAGGTTTCGAATAGTCATATGAATACTAAATGCTATACAATAGAAAATGTATGGGTTATACTATATTACACTATACACTATTTCCTACATATATCTATGTATACGGTATACAACAGACCCCCCCCCCCCCCCCACCCCTCCCCCTGATCTGGTCCTTAATCCAGTATTGGGGTGTGCATCACGTATTTGAATCCACGTGCCCTCTTGTTGCGTGCTCGAGGGGGCACGAAAAAAACAAATTCCGACACCTACAGTACGTACTACCCATGGTCTTATTCGGGTTTCCGGGGGGGGTACAGCAGTCTATTTCCTATAGAAAGCAAAAGGGGCCCGCGGTGGGGAACCCATTTTTCTTTGGGGTACGCTACGACATCAAGAGAGCACCTAAACCCGCTCAAAGTATGCGTGTATCGTCATTAGTACAGCACGACGTGTTCCCCGTATGCAGCTTGCGACAAGTGAGCTCTACGCACCATGAGAAGGAAAAAAGTCGAAAACGTTTTTTCGGCCCGCCCGGGGGTACTAGGTGTGCGGGATGACTCTTTACGTGCCCCCTTGGCGTGCTTGTGATGTATTCGTATGCGCTCGCAGCCGAATTCGCAAGTATTTCAGTTGGTGAAGCTGTGTTCTGCGTTGATTCGTACGTCAGTGAAAGTAATCACTTATTAACTAAATCACTTATTATTACGCTTGCAAGCAGTACACAATGTGCCAGCTGCAATGTGCATTCGTTGCAAGTTCGAGTATGTTGTCGCAGTAAAAAACCTCTTTCCAGAATACACGTGTGAGTGATTCGTTGACGTTGCCGGATAGGTGTGATTCCGTGATTTCGAGGATGAACGCGCATTCGCCCATCCTCTCACTCTGCTTCTTCTCAGGGGTTCTCGACTCCTCCGCTTCTTTGGGCCTCCGCTTTTTGTTCTTTTCTGGTCTGCACACTTATCACGGTAATTTTACACCAAATCATGTTCTTCTCCTTTGGACGCCCTGCGTACTCAGAGTCAAGCCTCTCGTATGCATACGAAAGAGTCCAGCGGCACAGCGTGAGTTGCTACAACGCTGCAGCTGTACAGGATGCGTACAGACAGGCTCACACGCAGCACTCGAGTTTGCCTTTGACCTGTGGCTATAACATTGTACGATCGGGTGCTCTGCATATATATGTACATCAATCAAATGTGGTTGGTTATTGCTGCTGCAGACGAACGTTCTAGGATACTTGCGGGTGGACACCGTGCGGAGAGAGCGCGAACGAACGCAAAAGCAGATATACCGTTTCGACCATAATCAACAACACCTCTTCGAAACCCGATACGGGACAACCGTCAACACCCACAAGCCTACATTTATTCCCGAGATGTACGGGTTCTTTTTTGTTGACAACTGTTCCTCCTCTTGTTTTATTGCCCATCTATTTGGAGTTGCGGTGTGTGTGCGCGTGTCTTTTTTATTATGTAGCATCCACCGGCCTAACCGGCTGACCAACGAAAAGACGTCTGTCTCAGCTCAGTGCTGCGGAAAGAAAAATTCAAAATGCTTCAACAGCCACCATCTGGGATCCTGTGACCGAGCGCCATGGGCCCGTATACTGCACTACACTCCGGATTAAGGACAGGTACATAGCAATAACATCATTCATAAGAAAACTGCACGTACGTGTCAGTTATGTCGGCTACTACTTGGATGCGCGTGCGCTTTGGATTGCTTGCATCGTCGTCCCTGCATTCATTCACTACAGTCGGTCCTCTCCTTTCCCCTACATTCGAAAAAAGACGGATGGACGGAGCGCTCGGTGGGATGGCTCACTCAGTCTGCTAGCAATCCCTGCAATTTGTTCACCTTGCTCCATATCTCTGCGCTGCTCTCTCTCTCTCTCTCTCTCTCTCTGGTCCTCTACGACAGAATGGTAGACTAGAGATCGACTTCTCTTGTGCTCTCGTTCGGGGGCGCCCTAAGTGATACTTTCACGCGTACCCAAATTACTAAATTATATTTTCAACGCCGCGTGATACTTGTAACACCTCGAAACAATACAAAACAATGGTCAAGTCGACGTATCCCGTTCTTGTGTTAGTGGGCCCAGCCATACGTGATACATTCCGGCGTACCAATTAATACTGACAAAGTCCACGGCATGTTTTGTGTATCCCTGCATCAAACCTACCCCTGTGTTCAGTAATATAATCTGGATGAAGCAAACACGAAGGAAGCGACCCTTACTCCCCTACCCGCAGATACTATTTCCTAAAATGAATCGGTCGTTCAACAACTTTGATATAAACGCACTTCAGCACTCATTGAACGAACTATGTCGAACCCCGTCCCTAAATAACGTAACTGCCAGACCCAGTCTATCGGGCGCGCGGGACCCCAGCCCTTCCCCCATGAAAACAAAGATAGGCAGCCATACATATATGTGATGCTACAGGAATCCTGGGCTAAGATCGGTGACCGTCTTGTGGTATTTCAGTGCTCCTCGAAGAAAATAACACGAAAAAAACAGAACACAGGAATAGGCCGGACAGCAGAGTACAAACAAGCATCCCTACTATGCTCGGCGTGGGACTGAGAGAAAGCCGTCCATGGGCACCATAAACACCGACCATGTTACGTGAAAAGGCTTCAGGCCAACCTCAGACAGGACAACGTGCAAACCTCCCCGAAGACAATGACACTTCGAATTCGTGTGGTTAGGCGGGTCTACCCCTCGGCCATTCTTCAAAGGAGGGTGAAACGTCCTGAGAGAACATCGTCTCACATGCTGGGTCAGCCACCGACGACCGGAAAATCGCTCGGTATTCAGTCAAGCAAGACTGTGGAGCCGGCAGGGACCCCCATTTCGGTAAGGAGCTGCTTCACGTTGGCCACAAAGGCGGTAGGTCCAGAAACGACCACCTGACATCAGAGCACAGGGGATTCGACGGGACACGTTCGTCGTGTTTCTCCAGGCGGTCATGTACGAATACCTGACCATTCACTGTCCAGCATCGAATAGTCGATACTGCCAGAAGTATCCCACCAAGATTGCGCCATTGGACCGACTGTCCACGAGGAGGAAATGTTCACTTCGGGAGAGTAACAGGTCAAAAGCGAGTCTGAAACTCGCCGTTCTCCCTGGCACGAAGAGGTAGCCACACACTCGACGTGCTCCATCGAAAGAAATCCTCGAAAAACGATAGGCCTCTAGACTAGACGTTGCTCGTGCTGTTATTGCTGTTGCCTTCTTCACAACCAACGGCAGAACCGTTTCTATTGGATTACACTTTATCGTCACAACCATAGCCACCCTAGCTCTCAGGTTTGTGGCGAGGTTTTCATCATCGTTTATATGAATTGTTAACGACAAGAAACTACGACTACTCGTGATGGCCACCTGAAGCTTCCCGGCAGTTTGGTCGGTGCCTATGAGGTCGCGATCATCCTCGCCTTCCCCTTCTTTGTTGTCCCCGACGTCGCTGTCGCTACAAGCAAGGCTGTTCAGCGCTCGCTGCCTGTTGTACGCCGCGATTGATGAAATCAGGGCTTCGCCGAAGACCGTCTCGAGGATCTCCCGGTTCACCCTGCCTCGAACCAGCCCATCTCCCACTTGATAGTTCTGGCGATGACAAACCAGAACAGCGAGAGGGAGATAATGGGAGTAGGTTCACCTGAGACCACGCCTCGCAGATGATGCAGATTCCAACCTTCTCACGATGTGGAGCCTTAACTCTCAACGAGCCCTTTTCTGGCATTTCAAACTTGATTGTCGGTCGCTACTCCTAACTCATGCACATGTCTGAAGCTCACGCTGGTGTCCTGCATAGGTGCGCGACGGCGACCGCTTGTCGTTGGGCTCTCATTCCACTTCGAGTTGCGCCACGTCTGCAGCAGCATGAACAACAGCCGTCCATCGAAACACGCACGGCGCCACGAGCATCACGAAACATACGGTCGACATACATGATGCAGTGGTTAGAACATCCCCATAGCTTCCGTAGTGAGGCAGGCAAGTCCCCGGGACACACGGCACTCCTATTGCTCAGTAGTCATCCACCACTCGAAGATGCCCCGCCCCGCCCACTTTGCTCATCCAACAGTACCCCTCGGAGAGTACTCGGGCTTTTCTCGTACGATAGCGCTTTCGGGAGCTGCACTGTCATTGGTTGGTTCGGCAAGCCATCTCGTTGCGATCGTGCGAACGACTCGTTCAATTCTGCCAATTTGCCCATTCCCTCGAACAACCAGAAGTCTTGGAGCGTACTGGTCTGGACGTCACATCTACCTTTTCGCATGGAACGCAAGGATTCTGCGTCTGCCTGTCACTGTTCTCCAGAAACTTTCCTCACACTGAATTTTCAGCGGGGCGATTATGAGAGAAGGACGGCAATCTGCTGCGAGGTAATCGAGACGACCAATCAGCTAAGAGAGCGACCACTGGTGGTCCTTGTTGGGCGTAGCTGCCTCGTTTTGGGTGCGAGCATCCCTGAGACCAGGTTATTTAGCCACAGACAAAATGATGCGTCCTGCGCTCACTATTCAACTTCCTGGGTAACGCCAGAACTACATCCGTGTTACTAGGTCTGGGCGTAGGTGTCACGTACGTACGCATATTGCAAATGTGTCCCTGCCACGTGGTACGTCTCACCCTCGTGGTCAGTAGCTTCCCAACGCCAGTCGGGGCCCTTTCTTTCTTGGCCCCTGCATCTGCAGCAGAGCGCTTCTTCTCTTCACGACCCGGGGTGCGGTACGGGGGTGGCTGCTCGTCCCTTCCACCGTCTCGGGCCAGCGTGGAATAGGGTGGAGGTTTCGGTTTCCCGGAGCTGCTGCTGTCGAGGTTGGACCTGGCGACGGGTAAAACACGGCAGTATTCGTAGCAACGTCATTGCACATGGGCCGCTTGGCAGTGGGGGTCTCGTCGTACCCTGGTTCTGAGAGAGGTGTGCTCTGAAACCACAAGTGCGTGCCGGCATCTGATCTAGAGCAAGTGATTTTCGAGGTTCAAAGGTGAGGCAAGCGCTCCAACGGAAATGGAGCAAAGGCGGTAGATAATAATTTTGTTGCGCCCGCTACTTGTTCAAGCGCACCTTCGCAGGAACCTCGCCGACCAATTTTAACGGAGCACACACAAGGCTGGACCCGCGGAGAAGCCGGACCGACAGATCAAATCCCGGATTTCAAGCGCGGAATACTGAAAAATATGGTACGCCTACGCGTTCAAATGGCGACGAAAGAGCGATCAACCAACAGTTCCCACTGCGTCTTCGGGGGATAATTTGATGACCCCGAAATCATCGTGGCACCGTACCCCGCAGGAGTGAAGGGGTTAGCGGAGCTGGTGTTTGAAGACGCGGGTGAACCGAAGACATTCCAGGCCATGTCACGGGCCTTGCGGAAGGCTGCACCGGGAGCATTCCGACGACGACCTCCTTCACTGGTGAGAGCAGTCACTTCGAGGAGTCCGTTGCTTTTCTCCTGGATAATAACAATTCAAGAAGCCAGGGCGGGGTGGATGTTGCACCGATCAATGTTCGGGACGTGTCCAACAGTGGGAGCGACACCAGAATGGCAAAGAGCCGGCCACGCCATATCACCGAGTTAGCGATGGGAGATGCCTGCTGCATATCCAGACTGATCCATGCAAAGGTGACTTACCTGCATGGCCGTGATTTCGTCGGTACCGTAGAAGTCAGCCTCCGTCGTGCTCTGCCACACGAGGACCAGCCGCGACCTCGTGGAAAACGTGGTGTCCCTGGGGTCATTGAAAATACGAAGGGAGGGATCCCGCTTTACGCGCGAGTTTCTTCTGCCGTTCATGCGAGTCGTCGGCACGCCAGAGGGTTTCGGAAACGTCGTGAAAGTACTGATGATGGCCATCCCACGTACGATTTGCCGCCCACCTGGAAACGTTGAGATAGTTCCGAATCTGCTGGACCACTGCCATTGCCGTCGGTCATTTGTTCGACCGTCGAAGACCACCAGTAGGGACGTCACGCCGCGAATGAAGGAGATACGCGGGGGGGGGCATACATAGGTTGCGCGGGGACGTCAAGATACGGCGACAGTCGGCTGCGACACTTCGTTGACTGCGTCACAGAGCACGCCTTCGTTTGATGTGGTGGCCGGGGTCTAGTACGACATCGCTGGCGGCGGGGATAAGACAGTACGACAAAGGTGGTGGCCCTGAACTATCTGACACGATATATAGGAAAGGCCGTCGATTTCCTGCGGTCATGCACATTGGCCTCTGCGACATGGGTCTGCACAGATTCCTGAGGTACTTAAGGTATTATACGGCCAATTTCTGACATATATTGCACGGCAAGGTCAGGTAGTGTTAGAGTAACCCTTAGCCTAACCTTAGCCCTGTCGTTAAACCTTCGAAGACGTTTCAATACCCAAATTCAAAGCATTTCCGTTTTTGGCTCCAAGGGCGCGGAGCGAACATCCGCGGCATACTGGGCACTCGGCGACGTTGTCTTCGTCACACACACCGGAAGCGAATACGCTATTGTAGAGACAACACATCCATCAGTAACCATCTTTGCGCACTTGGGTTGACGCCTGTGCCCGCCGCAATCATGATGACGTTGCGGTGGGCCGGTGGCGGAGCGAGCTTGTTGACGAGGAATGGTCCTTGCAGCTGGACTGCCACGTTGTCCGTATCCTGGAGACGAGTTGTATGGACGTTTATCAAGAGTAAACGTAAATTCGCTAATCCGGTTACTTAGCATCTAGGCGGAGCATGGCGTGGAAAAGCAAATATTGTTTGTGATCTTGGCCTTGGCAGAAAAAAACGATTATCTGACGGATATTCGTGGAATAAAATCGAGAGCTGAGTCTACAGGTTCCCTCGGTCAAACAGCAGCTAGAATTTGAGTATTAGACTCCGCAAATGTTCACGAAGTCCCCTTTCATCCACAACGCCCCACTCAAGGTGATAAAACTATCATCTGTCACATTTTGATGCTCGACTCTTGAAGGAGATTTTGTTACCCGTAACACAAGCAGTGTAATTGTGACAATTAAAACAAATGGTAGTGGTCGGTGTACCGGCACCTTACGCCGAAGGTTAGCACACATGAGGCAAAATATTTGATAAACGAAAACGGCCTCAGTCTCGAAAATATTTCGGCTTGAGGAGGATGGTAAGAAAACTGCCAGAGCAACTTCGCGAAACCATTGCACAACATCATGTTGCGGAATCAATCGTAGAGCTCACCTTGGAGAGTTTTTCTAGTAGCTTGCTCATGGCCCCGTCGTGGTACATCCTGATACGCATCTCGATGCACAGTACGCCCTCCGTAGTCTCCTCTGCCGGCACAACCTTCCACACAGAGGAAAAACCGTCACGCGAGTTAGGCACCGTGCGTTAACGTTAACGATGGGACAGGTGCTGGGCTCGCACGAGAGCCTTGTGGCACAGGTTGAACATGTCGTTCGGACTATGTCCATGGAGGCTACAGTTTGCATCAACCTTCAGGTGCAGGTGTGTGTAGCGAACGAGGAGCAGATTAGAGTATGCCGTCTACATCGAATTATTTTCTTCTTTCGCTCGATTTGTCTCAAGCGTGCTGACCTTAGGCAACTTCGCAGAAGTCTTGCTCCAGGCCACCCTTCCGCCCGGTGTGGGTGGCTCGACGTCCAGCAACCTCACCGCGAAGGCATTGTACGGCCGCTGTACAACACCCTGTTGTGAAGACGCAAACGACGTTGAGATCACGAACAATGCCGCTGACGACAAGACGAAAAACAAATCCATGCCGATTTTCGATACTCCGTAGGAAATCTCAAGTCACTGATCAGGTCGACAGAGAATGTTCTTGACCGTGTGTGCTCAAACCTCGCATCCTCGCATCTCAGTGAGAGACACAGATAGCCATGCTGTAGGGTTGGCTTGTGGGTCTCCCACACTTTCCACAGTTTTCCCAAACGACCAATGGGACTCCCATGGGTGACCCATGGGTGACCCATGGGCCGCCCATGGGCGCCCCGTTAGGTCCATGGGCAGCCGATGGGCGACCCTTGGGAAGCCCATGGGCTGCCAATGGGAGCCCTATAACCGAACCCGTGTACTCCTAAGCAACAGATTGTCCGCGTTGGAACGGGTACAATAGTGGCTAATAACCCTAACCGTAACCCTAACCCCAAGCCCACACGAACGTGTTAGGTTGGCGCTGGTGGCTAAGTTCTAGGTTGATATCCCGGTGGCGAAGTTCTAGGTTCAAGTGCCCACGTTGGGCAGTTTATGGGCTGCCTATGGCCGGCCCATGAAGTGCCCATAGCCGACCCATGGGAGACCCATGGGTGTCCCATGGGCGGTTTAGCGAAACTGTAGGTAGTGCGAGAGATTGAGACCTGTAGGGGTCCCTGCCATGCCACATCCAGCTCTCCTATAACTATTCCGGACGTATGCCAGTAGCAGCAGTCCACAACAGCAACCATTGCAGCACGGACGGCATTCGTTTTCTAGAGGACATTGGGAGACCTCCTTTGTGGCAGATTGGATGAAAATTCCATCAATACGGCCAACACAAACATTCCAGCGGGAGCCAAGTCAATCTAGACCATTGATATGGTTCAACAGACCCGAAAAGGTCACTTGTCAGAATGCAGTATCGCCTCTTGGGCGAGAGGAAAACCAACCCCGCACAATACAGCCGAGCGTAGGGGCGTTGTGTTCAGTCACGTGATCGCTAGGGCGGGGCACGCGACAACGATGTCACAACAACCCGTGGTAGCGCACGAAAAGGTAGGCATGTACCTGGCGCAGAACGGCGATCCCACAGAGCATTCACCACGACTCTGTTCGTTTCAAGCCTCACCTTTCCCTCTTCCTGGGCGCGCATGTTGAAGTAGCAGACCCCTGAAACCGCCTGCGCCTTTTGTACCGAAATTGATAGGGGCCGAAGAATTTTCCCGTGTAAACCACAAGGCAACTAACGAAAAAATCATGAAAATGACATGAACTGCTGGTTGACCAAAGACGTGGTCGAAAACGTATACCGCGCAACAGAGAACAGAAAAACCCGTGTGATGCGAGAGCTAGGCGACATCAGCACAAAAGACCTCTGGACCAACACGTTTGTTTTGTGTCCCGCGGCGTGGATAGGGTTCCGCGCTGTTTAGACGTGCACGGCGGGACCACAGGAAGAGACATTGACTTCATGGACTCCAATTCCGTCATGGGTGTCATAGTCAACGTATGCTTTCGACGACATTTGATACCTACGTTTTCCACTTTTTGTCTATGTTCTCTGTCTACAGACAGGCCCGACCGACTGTTCAGAATGCAAAGCAAGCGGAAAAAAGAGAGCTACGTTGGCTGGCGGGTCCTCGTGTCTACAGCGGAGCATGCCAAAGGGGAGGATTGACGCAAAACACTATAATAATGAAGGGAAACGAGGGTGTGCATACCTGGGCTTGCGCCTTAGCGGGACAAGAAAAAATGTATCTGTAGACCGGGCGCTTGCTGGGTAAGTGACCGCGGCCCACGGCGCTGGCGGCTCCCATCCTCTCTCGGAAGAGCAGGGGGCATACTTGAAATCGCTCGAGCAAGTCCGTGCTGCTTCCCCATCCGCCGTCGTTCTCATCGGCGCGCTGAGCCTTCGATGTATCAAACGTTCCGTTCCAGTTCAACGGAAAATAACATGGGTATCAGCTCTTATGTTGTCCTTGAGCTTCGCTCATACTGTAGGTGCTAAACAATGCTGGTGTTTCCCTCCGGCAACGCCGGGTGTTCCCTCTGGGGGATTTCGACGTGGTGTGTTATTGACCCCGATTGAAATTCGCGGGAAAAAGCAGCAGCACACAAAACCAACAGCTGGGGAATCTGAACGTGCAACTACATGGTCATCTGCCCATCTTTCAGTTGGGAACAGGGCGTCCATCAAACAAGCACTAGACTATGCCGGGTACTGAGAAACAAGGTCTCGGCACGTCTGCACAGTCCACGAGACAAAAACTTGGGAGACTTGGAGACTTACGACGTCCATTTCTATGGGCGGGTTGCCCACAACGCTTGCTGGGTTGTTCGACGCTGCCGTTCTCGAGGGGCGCCTGGTTGGAGCGGGAATGACAGCCAAGTCGTTCAGCCGCATGGCCTTGGTTGCCTGGAGGAAGTGTTGCATACCACGAAACAAAGGGAACAACAAGTATCGGTTCCATGCCGCCCCTCACGACCTATCGGCATGGTTTGATACGGAAAGGCACATCTCAGCAGGCGATCCCAAAATCGAGGGAAAGTGGGGAGAGTTTTCTGGTGCGGTGTGTACAGCGTGTTGTCGAGAAAGCACCTACGTGACCAAGTAGCTGAGCTTGGTGTGGAAATTCTCAACGGCCGGCCCACAAAGTATCTCACATCCAAATTGTTGATTTCGACTCAGGTGCACACTCATGCATCATGATGTGGATGCTTCGGAACGCCTGTCGAATACATGCAATTCGTTGGCTGTGAGGTCATTGTTCGAGACACATGAGTATCGTGACGTGGATCGTCACTTGCCAGAGTATCGTCGCCCAAGGCCAGTCGGTTGTTCAGCATTACCGCCTTGCCCGCGACACGAAACCTTCGGTTGTTTGCGTCAGGAACGGGAATATCACCGGTCGTGGTATCGACCTTCTCTTCTCCCTCCTGCTCCTGGTCATCTTCCAAGGCAGCCGTAGGTTCCGCAGCGTCCTTCTCCTCGATGTAGCCGACTACAAGCGAACGAATGATTCGCCATGCACTCTGCCGCCAGCGAGTAAGAAAAGGTGTAGACGCAACAGGTGGGTCAGGAGCCTTGTTGGTGGCGATAATAACTGCAATGCTACGAAATATATCGCATCATCCAATCATCCACCCCCCTGACGACAATTTGCGGAGGGGGTTGTCCAGGATTTGGCCCTTGCGTTGCCATCCAATGGTTTCCAAGAGGTCTGTGTGTGATGGTTGAGGTGGTCGGCAGTCACACCATCTTCTTGTGCTGTTCGAGGGCCATCAGAACGATACGCCTAACATTCGTCTGTTCTACACATTTTCAACAGGAGGGAAATTTGGTTCTGTCAAGCGCGCACTCACCCCGGTGTGCACGTGAGGCGGGAAGGACATGGCATGCCCCACAGAGTTCTCTTGTCCGATCAGCTCCTGAGTAACATCGGTGCCCAAGGCGTTGAGGATGAGGCGTCGACCGCCTGGATGCCTCTGCGCAAAGTCGGACACATCCAGAACTGCTTCATCCACCATCAACCAGGACTGGCCGCTCAACACCTGATCGAAGAGAGGTTGGTCGGAAGGCAGGTAAGTTTTGGGCCGCAAGACACGTTTACATCAGGCACGGTGTGTGGTGTTGGTTATGGTCCGCGTGAGACTCCAAGAGAATGGCGACATGGTGGAGGTTGGGAGATCGTTTCGACTTATTGCGTATCTTGCGGGACCTAGGAGGTGCATGCTACATATGGGTTGCATTTGGCACATGTTGTCTACGATCCTTTCCGAATTGGTGGGAGACGTTTCCTTCTAGAGGTTCATGGCGTCGAGACGTTGACTGGAAACAAACTTAGGCCAAGGACAATAGGTGTTGAGCGGGAGATTTATTCTGAACGACACCCTTTGCACGGTAAAGAAAAACCGACTCCGCGAACTGTTCTTGACCGAGCGTACTACGAAAAGACTGAATAGAGCTTGAAACCCGTTGTCGATGCCTCCACGTTTAATGCGATTCAAGCAGTTCAATGAAGCGCACACCCTGCCGCGCGAAGCACGCCAAACACTATTACCGATCGCCAAAAGTCCACAGTCTTCGTTCACCTTGTCATTGAATGCTGCAACGCTGTAGATAGGCAGGTCCAACGTTCTCGGAATCAGCCTGCCTTTGTGCATTGAGCCATCGTGTAGCTCGTTGACAATAGACACAACTCCACACACGCTAGCCGCCCCTTTCTTGAAGAATCGCTGGTATTGCTTTTGTGCTTCTAAGACAAGAAAGCCGCCGGCGACTAGCGCAAACCAGGCAGGGAACAGGTAGTCCTTGACCCAACCGAAGCTGCCGAGCTGTATTTCGGTCGAAATAGTGCGAACAGGAATTTCAGCAAGAGGTGAGCGAACACAAGGAGGCTAATGTGACAAGCAGCGCGATCTGACAGGAGATTGTCACCGTCAAGGACAGTATCCAAGAAGGCAGAGGGGTACAGCGACACATATATTCCGATATCACAGCCGGGGGTGTTTCTGCCTGTATATCCCGAGGATTCTGCTGCGTCCTTTGCACTCCTACATACAAGTCGAGCTCTTCAGCGACGGAAGTCATCACACCAACGCTGGGAACTTACGGAGTACGCCTCATGAAGTAGGAAACAACTATATTGCCCGCATTCGTCACGATCAATGCAGGTGCGGGGTGACGTAGAATACTTGGTGAGGAGGGACTACGATTCGCTCCCATGGCTTCACCTGCAGGTCAAGGCCATCGCCTGCGGAGAATATGAGCTCATCGTCCGAGGACACGAGCTCCAGCCCTCGGTAGCACTGCACCACTCCGGCTGCGTATGCGAATCGTCCGGCCCAGATGTGGAAGTGCTTGTTGAACTGTTGAGCAAGGGAGTTCCCGCAGTAGCTGATTAGCCTAGGAGATGCTTGGCAATTGAGGCCCTCAAACGTGTTGTCATTTTTTCTCATGGTATCCAGTGATGTTGTTGGGGCTGGGTAGCCTTGGTTCGATTGTTGAGATGAACAGCGTGGATCGTCAAGCGAACACCCAAAGCGAACGGCACGTGCCTGGAACTTGCCGGCTTTCGCCTGCGAGAGCTACCCAGTGCGAGTCAATGGATAGCGAAGAATGTCCTCCAAGTACTGGCATGCGGAAAAAATAAATGGTGTACACGTCTCATCGACAACCAACATGTCTTGCTCATCTCACCCTGTGAAGCAAGGAAAAGTTCGAGTGTTTGGCCTCTAATCCCTTGGTCCTCATCCAGCCCGTGAAGATCTGCATTGCGACCGCGGCGATCATGTAGTACCCCCAGTGCGCGTGTGCTTCCGACGTCCTGCCCCTGGAAGCAAATACAGCGGTGATCCCGAGGGGGAGCACGGCTTCGGAGGCAACGATCATGATGTCCTCGTGCATCTCGTACCATTCGCGTCCAGCCCACTTAATCGCGTCGCCCTTGCGGTACCTGGGATAATGCCCATGGTGTGTCACATGCATTACGAGTAATGTTCGAGACGACTTATCGTTATGAGCGAGGTTGTGCTTTCGGCAACCAATCACCGTGTTATTCGGCTGGAGATCGCGCAAGAAAATACTACGGCTGTGAGGGAGGGAGGCACGGCTGGCCAAAAACGCCAAGGTTGGATCAGCCGTTCGGACATGTATTGTTGCTGGTCAGCTCCGCAAATGGCAAAAAAGCGAGCGTCCCGTCTGACTTGTCAGTACCAATCAGTTGTGGTTTCACCTAGCTAGCCACGGAAAAGAGGGGATCTTCTTGCTATCGAAAGCTTTCAGTCGCGATTTGACTCAGGTAGTGACATCCAAAACTCTAGAACAAATTATCGTTTGAGGTTGCTCACCTCGCGTAGTAGATGCCCCACGGTGCGATGAGCATCCACGCGATGAGCATCAGCGCGCCGTGCAACGAAACGAAGTTGGTCTCGCCGTCGCACTGAGTGTCTACGTCTCCCGTGACGAAGTTTATCGTGGCCGCTCCACGATTGGTGTTTGGATGTTGGCCCACGCCCTCTCCCTTCTTGAACGCGTAGATGACGAGGGTGTCCTCTTCGTTTTCGATATCCTATAAGCGACGAAAAAAACGTACTTGAGGCGGCATGCACGCCGCTAACGGATATTGTTTGTACCGAAACCAAAATGTCCATATATGGAAGGTTGACACAGGCCGGGTACGCTCTTCCTTACATCGGCGTTGAATTCACAGCGGCAGCATCACTGGCGTATACCGGAACCCGCGGAATGAACTCCCCAAAATATAAGACGTCATCAAGGTGGACGCGAAAAATATTCCAAAAGATAACATGCACAGCAGGTGTAGCACCCACCTCAAAGAGGTCGTAGTCTTCTGCATCCAGCGTCGCCCGTTCCCTCGAGAACGTCACGGTAGTCCAGGTCTTGTCCGTCGTTACATTGGTAACTTGGAGGCCCGATTGCAAAGTGTCCGGCTGCGGCTCCGATCGCCCTCCAGTGGGAGACCGGTCAATGCATTCGGCACCGCCCGTTGAGAAGACCTCACAGATAATGAAATCCTTTAGAGGGCACCATATGCATCAACACACCAGCGGTGAGCGTTGGCGGAGCAGACGGCGGGAAGTAGACTATTGTGTTGAACAGCATGCTGCAACACGTGAATAGAGCACGACCGTGAGCTGGTTGGAATCGTTGATGCATACATACTCCCGCGCGCACAATCATACGGGTGAGTATTCGGCCGTCACAGAGTATGGACATCAACTGCTGTCGACTGGCGTAACGACGTCATGAACAGCAGAAAAAAACCATGACGCAAGCAGCTTTGAGCTGGCCGAGTGTGTGGGGAGGTACTTCGTACAAGGTGTAGGACACAGTTCTCCCCAAACGAACACCGGCACTAGCGGGGGTTTGTTTGCCAAAGTTGAGCACATCCCCGGAGGAGAGAAAAGCCTCCCGCCTGGACGACAAGACACAGCATTGTTTTCGAGCCTCTTTCCGCCATTCCCTGCTTGCGGCTTTATTGCATAGCGCTGATATACACTCAAGTGGAACACAACGGTAACGACAACCAGTGGAACGACCTGTAAATTGTGACATCTTCGCTTTCACCTGAAAAACTGCTCTAGAAAAAAAAATAGTCCGCACCCCCCTGAGCGAAATAACCCGAATAAGGTTCGAGCGTGAGGAGGACAGCCGGAAGCGCTCAACGGAGGAAGAACTAAACAGACTGTTGTGTTCAGAATTTCGGAGCGATTAGATTATAGCTTGGTTTCTCGCACCTGGGCATCCGTCATGGACAATCCTCCAAAGCCGATGCCCATCATCCCGCTGTCGCCGATACCCAGGACACTCAAGGAAATCGATATCGTTTGATCATCAATCACCTGTGAAATGGCCAAGGGTTTCAACAGATGCATCGCCGTGGGAGTCAAGCCCGGAAAACTCGTTTCGCTATCACCGTATGCCGCTCAGTAACGTGGAGCGGCATCATTAGAATCTGCATGGTGGTGCAGCGTCCAAACATCCAACACATCTACATCGTCGATCACGCAACTACTGACAAAACGTGGCAGAGAAGGGACCATCGCAGACTTCCCATTAGGCGACAACCCCCATGGGCTTGCGGCCCCAGGTGGTGAAACATGGATGATCAACGCAGTCGAACCCGGTCGAAACACTCCTTCGAGGTCGCTTGTTCGCGAGGAATCAAAATTCGGATGACTAGGGCAAGGGTCTACCCTCATCCCAAGAAAGATTACGGTCGCGGCGTGTAGGAGGGGCCCTTCGTTTCCACCCGCCCGTTCGTTCACCCAAGAAACAATCCAAACTGTGTACATCCGAAAGCTCCGGGAAGAAGGGAATATCGCACTGCTGGACGTCGGTGAATGTGTCGATGAGCCACTCTGTGGGATCAGAGTGATACCAGTACAGTCCTAATCCGAGAACCTAGGAAACAAGCATTCCTTCAACGACATCGTGTACCTCCCACGACATGGCGTAGCGCTCTGCCAACGAGACCCCCGATATTCCCGCAGCTTCGCATTCCCCGGTGCACACGGTAACTTCCGGCACCGTGAAACCCGATGCCGGCAGGTCAGTCACGCCGAGCGTTTGATTGATTAGTCCTGAGATAGACGCGAGTGACACGTTCTCGATCGGCCTCGAGTGAAGGTGGTGGTACCGGTCCCCGAAGAATGTTCTGTACAACTGGTTCACCCATGCTGTGTGCAGCAGGTCACCGAAATTGCCACCTAGGCTCGCCTCCTTCTCCTCCGCCAAGGCCCCGACGCACGCGTCGAGGTTTTCGATTTCTCCACCGTACGCAGCATATAGGAGTTGCACCACGTCGTCGTCCGCCGAGACATCCGAAAAGGCCGTGGCTTTGGAAAGTTCATATGCCTGTTGTATTGTTCGTGCATGTAAACAGGTGGATTATTCTTTTCATGGAAATGTGTCCCCTCGTAATAGCCTGGGAACACGTGGGGGTGCTTCGTGGCGAAGATGACAGTAAGGGCCTACACTTCAAGGTTCACCTCCGGTTGATACTCCAGCATTTCTTCCCTAGGGATGAGCATTCGGCCACGCCCTGAGGCGTGGGACAATCAATACCCCACGTGCAACTGTGACCGAGAGGGCTCGCTCCTTACCCTCCCCTCGACACAGCGAGGTTGGTGGAACCGGTGCCTCCAAAACGTTTTGACAATTTTAAGGACTCACCTCCCGGACGTCGTTGTACGATGGCACCCCATGATCACGAGCCCGCTGCACCATGTCAACTGGGAGTTTGAACAACGGCGAGGCGTTCGACACCGCCGAAGCGAAGTGTGGCCATACCGCCATCGCGGGAGACAAAACCGCTCCACGCAGGATGTCCCCGATCGCGCTGTGCTCGAACAGGCCCGTGATATCTTCTGCCGCAACGGTGAGCTCAAGGTGATCGTAGTCAGTGGCAACATACCCCTCGCTCACAATGCGGAGGGTAGAAGGCAGCGCCGACTCGAACGCGGCGGTCATGGCCACCGTCACGAAGACGTCGGCGGACGGGTTCAAGAGGTCGTCGTAGTAGTCGAAAGTAAACAACAGCTCCCTCCGCTGTTCTGGGGATAGCCTGCGTCTGCTGCCGCCATCGTCATCTTGGTACACGGTCCAGTCGCCGATGCTTCTTCCCATTAGTAGAATCAAGAACTCATCTTCAGTTATGTGCTGAAATGTGGCGATCGTCCAGCCTCGGCAAGCTTGATACATATCCTGTTCAGCAACCGAGGAGTTTGTTGTGTGTGAGGTCGGCGGGTTGCACGTCAGTGAGGTGCGAGGTAACCGCACGTCTTAGGGCAACAACATCGGGTGAGCAGTGGAAAAATTATATACGTTAAAAGCCATGATGTGCACTGCTGTTCGAGCTCATGACATAATATTTGAGCGAGTCTCGAGTCTCTGAAGAGAGGAATGAGTGGTTCTTCGTGTGAAATATTCCTGATCTCAACATGACACTACGCTCTGCGTTCGCCAAGCATATAATGTGGCTTCCTGCGCGAAAGGGGACGATTCTGGTTCATGGTTCAATCTGATATTTCAAAGCCCAAAAAATGCATGTGGGGTTGGTCAAACGAACAATTTCGACGCGATTGCGTATGAATGGGGGCACGTGGCCACACCTGCTGGCGCACACACGTGGGACACGCCGATCCACTGCCACTATTGGCTATGCGGGGTGGGTATGGCAACCCAAGCCAATCACCTTAACGGACAACTCCGTATTTCTTTCTTTACAAATATTTTTTTCTGTTGTTCCGATCGAAACGAATAGGACGACGTAATGATGCTCCATCGAAGTTGCGGCAAGGAATCAGGCACGACACAAGCCTGTGTGCTCCCTAAGAAGCGGGTATCTTATCTTCAGCATGACTGACCTCATCACTCGTGTAGTTCAGAGCTGGCGCGACGTCAACGCAGCAGCGGTTGTGCTCGAGGAGGAGAACGACGTGAAGGGCGAACGTCAGCGGAAATCTGGCTGTCCGTTGATCCGCGATCTACCGTAGAGGTGACAAGGTGACAGCGGCAAAATCAAGAAAATATGGAGGCCAATACAGATTGTCAACTGGTTGGCAATACATCGATGGATAGTTCCCGAACCGAACAAGTTCGGGACAATGAAGATCGGGACAACGAATGTAGACAACATGTTGTTGACCGCAGTGCAGATGTACATACAAACCGTTGCTTGTCACAGACACGACCTGTCGACCATCTAGGTTCTCGCAACTTGGATAAATCTTCTGCTGCGCGCTCGACACTGCTGTTCTAAACTTCTACAAGTACACTGGCCTCGCCAACCTACCAACCAAGTCCCGTCGCTGTTCTTGATGGGCATGTTGTCATCTGCCATACTCAGCATTCCGCCATCAAAGGTACGAAGGGCATCGGCAGCGTCCTTGCTCCTTCCATACACGAAGTCCAGGTCGATAAACGAGGAGGCGTAGTTGATCGGGTTTCGGACAGAATCAGTCACCGTAGCTTGGGATCTGAAAAAAGGGATTGGATCAGATGCCTCCCCCAGAGGACACCAAACGTCAACGGAGCCCCCTCCGTCATCGCAAGCGATTTCGAAGGGTTCCGAGCTGTTGTCGACGGTGTAGGACAAATCGAGAAGCAGCAGCTGTCCCCAAGCGATGGAAACCGCATTCATATCAGAAACGGACGGTGGCGACGACAGGAACACGTCCGTCATCAACTCCCTGTCAACGGTTGCGGGAGAAATAAAGGAGTACAGAGTACAGACGGTGATGAGTGGGTTAGGCGCACGTAGCCGAGACATGTCAAAGCCCGTTCGAGCCCGAACGCGGAGTGAGGGCAGTGCCAACATACCAAAGTTAGAAACAACTGGTTCTCGGCATGACGCCTCCGATGAAACAAGATCCTCTTACGGCCGTACTTGCCTCGCAGTCGGCCTAAATTCCTCCAGCGGAGTGAATGCGTCGTCCGCAAACGAATATTCAGCTGGCGAACGTATCTGGAAAGTAGGCCGCGGGGCATGGCAAGAGGAGGAAGGTGCAACCGAAGCGAGGTGTTGGGGGACGGCCGAGTGAACTGGCTAGCGTCGAAAACAGAGTCGAAAAACCCCAACTTAACGTCATTTTCCGCTAATGAGCTCAAAGGCCTTCGAGCCCTGTTGTTTTCCGCCATAGAATATACGTGCGACCAACTTAGGAAGAGTGTCGTGGGTCATGGACGCATTGTTGCGCTTGTCACCACACCTGGGTTGTCCCCGCAGCGCCCCAAGTAGGATTGTCTTCATTGTTTCCAGTACCGTCGTAACTTCTCGGCGTGAACATTTCCTCATCTACGGCCGTTGCCACCGCCATCAAGAAGACGGCGCCAAAAGGCAAGCGCATCCTGGTCTTGGCTGCACCGATTCGGCGAAAGTAGCGTGGTCAGTTGCCGCAGGCGCAAAGTGAAGCTTCGCATATGCATATCATGAAGATCGAGAGTTCCAACGCCTTTCGTCGAACATATCCATGCAAACACCCACACTTTCTGCTACAATAAACTACATGTACGGAGTTCTCAACATGTGCTTGTACCGCACCTGAGGTCGGGCCATTTGCAACTTTGTCCAATGACTGCAAACGGTGCTCATGAACGAGCCCCCAATCGACTTTCTGGCCGATCCTTTGCCACAACTTCTTGCACAGTACCGCGCTGCAAATGCGAAAGGTTGTGAACGACTGCGCTGGTAATTGATTTAGACCGTAGGAGGGCTAGTATCAAGCGCTTCTGTCGTGGCAGATTTCCTTGAGCACGGGAAGAACATATTGTTCGGCGGAGTAACTTGGTCCAGCTGAGGAACTGCTATGAGGTTAGGACCATGATACAAAGCTGAACACACCCAGTTTGACAGATCAACCTAGGTACCACAAATATTCCGAGAACGTTCCACACCCACTGAGTACCCCGACAACACCTCTGTGGGGTGGCGGCACCAGTTCACCCCACTACAATCACGTAGTAAAGGCCCCGGAAAGACGTTTCTTGCAGGGGAATCGAGAACCCGGCTAGGGTAACGCCTACCAAGGGCGATACACAGATGTTTGCTCTTCGGAAAAACACGATAGGACGAGGGAAATGTACGTGTTGTTCATGTTGTACGTGCACGTGGTACACTCCTACGGGCCCTGTATGGGATTTCACGGGTTCCTACGCCGGCCACATCATTCAAAGCTCCGCGAGTTTGACAATCTGTTTTCGTCCCCCATTTTGTTTTTTTCCACCATTGTTCTGCAAGTATTGATCGCGGGTGGCGGATTCGAACCTGGATGGTGTTCGACCAAAATCAGTCATCTCGTCTCAACGCCAACACGAAACGAGGGAATCGAAATTGTCCCCCGACAGTCATTGGGGGATTGCACCCTTAATGAAGTGGATCTCTACAGGTACGAGCATACCGGGAAAAAAAAAGAAGGCAAACACCCGAATGTTGAAAAACACCGAGATACATACCCCGTCTTGTGTTATAGGCCTCTGGTATACGTTTAGACACTACCACGGTGTGGTAGTGAATATACCCCGATATTTCGGCAAATTCTGCCCGACATTCTCAAGCACATCAACAACGGAGTACAAACTGTGGTCGGAGCTTGGTCCCAGACGAATGAAGGCCAAGGTACTTGAGTGGTCTTCATCCGGGGTTGATTGCGGGTGTCAGTCATAAGGGGTGCTGCTGCAAACAAAAAGATAGTGCTGCTTCTGAAGAGTACGATGTGGGATGCCTGAGGAGCACATCCAAGGCCTTATCTCACATCATCACGATCTGCGTGCCCCCTGCGATGTTGAGACGCGCGTTTACAATGGTGCAGACCTTTCTTTCCCCTTGAAAACAATAAGAATCAATATCACATTCCTTCACAATCAATAGTGGATCGAGAGCGTAACCCTGTAGGGACAAGCTACGATCAGGCTTGTGCTTCTTCAAGCTTGGCACCGTTGTCAGGACCGGTCCTACAGGGGTTGCTCAATGGTTTTATTGTCAAGGAATGGTATGTGTTATTAGGGGAGAGAAAGAGAAAGGTTAGAATAGACATGCGTACCTCAACGTCGAAGGAGACACGCAGATGATAAAGATGTGGGATAGGCCCTTAGAGAGGAAGTCCGCCCGGCCATCCCGTTCTTCCTACACTTCAGTGTACACTCCGAAGTACATGACCAATTATTATTTGATTGGGCTTTTCGGTGGGCGCTTCCACAATCCAAAAGCCGGAGTACAAACCCTACAGAACACATCCACCCCCCTTGGAATCATGTTTCAACGCTGAAGATGGTGCAAGTCACGACGAGGGAGGGGGTTCAGGGGCTCCCATGTTGGAACTGTCATCATTTCAGATAACAACATTTTGGGGTAATGAAAAACACAAACAAACATGAAAACACAGCGAGCGTTTGATGGACCACCTTGAGGCACCATGAGGAACGATGAGGTCTCGTACGCATATAGGCACCACGAGAAAGATCTCATGGAATCTCGTGGGGGCCCACGAAATTGCTCATGGGGCGCAATGATTTAGATCAATTCATGTCATGCCATGACAGACCATGAGATATCTCATGGGACTATGGGAATGGTTCACCATGGTGCAACATGAGGCGACATGAGCAAATAGATATTCGTCAACACAGACTCATGTAGTACGTCATGTAGCGCCACATGAAAACTACAACAGATGAATATTACCGAAACAAACGAATTTACGTCATGGGGCACTCTAAACGCCCGTGAGGTTCAGAAACCTCCCATGGTGTGCGCCATGAGGATCCGTTGTGCGTGATGGCGCGTCATTAGAGTAGGTCTTAACAAAGAAATCAGATCTCGAAATCACATGTCGATATAAGTATGTATGTCTTAACGGGAGATCTGCCAAACAGAAACGAATCTCTGCAGTCCACCGCGAACAACCCGAGAGGTCCGCCGCTTGCCAACTGCCAGATTGCTATTGCGACGTACTGTTATGACGTGGCCACACCACATGGGGAGCTATCGCTCCCGACAAGAACACACCAACGCGCACATGGCCTCTGTGCGGTACTGACACGATGTCCATATGCATGTGAGCGTTTGAATCGAGCCTCGTCCGACAGAAAGCCGCCAATTCGTCTGTGCATTTAAAGTTCGACAACCCACGGGAGATTGCCCCACAGACCAACACATCCCACACACGTTTTTTTTCGGCACCAGTCACGTGCAACAACGATACGCAGTCACCCTCCCTTTGGGTCGGATTTTTGTGCTCTCTCTTTCCTCTGTGCTCGGCGGTGGATGGAGTTCGTGTGGATGGGGGTAGGTGGGCACGCGCCGTGCATGCGAGTAAACCGTGGTGCCGCAACTATGGACGCTGTTCACCCAAATCGGGATCCGATTAAATGATTTCACCTTTGTTCAAATCCCGATTTGGTTTTGGGTCGTCCTGTTTTAAGTCCTAAAGATTCGACGGGTTCCATAACATTTCAGCCGATGAGCAACAGAGTTCTTTGGATCTTCCGGTCTTATCACCAAATCTGAACGCGATTTCGAGATCTGATTTCTTCGGTAAGACCTACCCTTGGATTTGGGGAAATGACTCGGAAAAACTCAAATACAGAAAAATGCAACCAACTTGGTGCACCATGAGAATCGTCTCATGACCCCATGAGAAATCTGGCGACGTGGCCCAAAAATGTCACCCCCCCCACATTTTTTGTGTGTTGATGCAAAACGAATGGAAGAGCTCATGATTTCGATGGACGGAAGAAGAAGCGTGTCCAACATCTAAGTGTAAGATTGAACGAAGGAAATCTGGGGTTTGTGGCGCGGGACTGAATCGTACAGTGGCAAAGTAGGCAAGAAATTGCGGGGAAGTTTCATCGGGAGATTGGATGAGCATGGTGGTGATGACGTATTGGAGTACAACTTGAGCAGCTGCAGCAAGAAGCAATAAGAAGAGTGCACACTGCAGCCGCTCCTGTGAGACGAAGGGACGATCTGTCGTAGAGGTCATCGCGTGTGTGTTAGGTATAGGTCAGGAGTGGGCTTCGGCTCGGTGATTGGCCGGAAACCGGGGGGGCGGGTGATGTGACTAGCCCTAGCCGTGTCATATTTGTTTATGTGCCGCCCATCGGAAATCTTCGCGTATAGCAACGGCAAGATTCACAGGGAGTTCGGGAATACGCGCGGCAATGTGGCGTTTTGGAAAGGTGAGGTGCAACTCCTTACTCCGGCTTTGTGGCGGTGTGCGGATAGAGTAGAGGTGCTGTTCGAGGCGTGGAAAGGAAATCATGACGAGGCAGTGGTGTTGCGCGTTAAGATGTGCCCGGGGTTCACTAAGTTCGATTGGGAGTGGGACGGGACCGGTGATGTACCGGCGGGGATGGTGGGCATAGGCGGGCTCGAAGTTTTGCTGGAATTGATGTGCTGCTATCCGCAGCTCGATGAGATGGCACCCATTGCTGCTTACCCTTCTGGTAAGGTTTGGAAGGTTTGGACGTGTGGTCAATCGTCGACAGCTATGTGCGCTCTCGTGGCTGGTCAAGGATTGAAACCGGAAGGGTATGCGCCGCATTCCGGCAGGATAGGGGCCGCGACTAGGTTGGGGGCGATTGGGTTGTCTTCGTGGGCAATTCAACAACAAGGGAGGTGGAAGTCGGACGCGTTTCAATCGTACTTGCGGGCCAATTTGGATGATGTTCAGAAGGCGTCCTTTGCGCTAGCGTCGGACGCTGTTGGGAAGGGGATCCAGCCTGGGCAACTGACGCGGTGGAAGGGCGCACGACCTAAGCCGAAGTAGCGTCTCGGGATTTAATTTCATGTTTAAGTCATTTGGTCTGTTCAGGGGTGGAACTGTACGTGGTATGTTTTTCTTTCGAAGTCTAAGCGGCGTGTTATTAGTCGCTCTTGATATGGGAGGCAACAATTTATGGTCATGGTAAATGATAAGGTGGGGATGGGGGGAGCGAGAGGGAGTCTGAAGGTGGAGGTAGGGGGGAGGGGGGGGGTATGTTTGGTGAAGGGACGGAAGCAATCGGAGGTAGGGCGCAGACGCATGGGAAAGGGGGGAAAAGAAGGCTGTTAAAGTGGGGTAGCGAGATGAGGTGTGACAGCCTGCCTAGGTTTACGTCTGTGTGTGGTGTATGTGTGAGGAACCCGGGCAAGATTTGGCGTGGGGTACGCCCGGGTGACGTGATGAAGTCGTGGGGGTTCACGACTCAAAAATAATACTACCTCCAGATTCATGAGCATAACAAACCGCGGAAGCATGCACCAAAGTACAA